GTAACAATATCAGCTGTCAATGAGAGTGAATCATTCTGTTTATGTGAACTATTATTTATAGCAGAATACACTACACTATGTACCCTGGATTATGATTGCTTGTTTTGAATGTCAGGAAATTGTTGACTGCATGACCTCCTGCAGAGAGATTGATTAAAGGTCAGATTGCTTCTTGATTTTGGAAGTGCATTTACTGCCACGCTACTGTGCAGTGAAAGTAAATAGCATTGGTCCTCAGCAGAATCAAAAATATACCAGGCCCAGCCAACAGTTTCAAAAGGGGGGTTCTTTTTCTGAAACAGTGGACCTATTACCAGTAAACTCTTGAGTGACCTAGATAAAATTTAATCTAGAGGAGACCTTTTCCCATCAAAAAGGGGAGTTCTTCCTACCCCCTTCTCCCTGGCTACGGGCCTATATAGATTTTTTGCAATCTCAAGTGAAGTCTTGACTGCTTTTAAGATAGCACATAGTCAAATGTAGAGATATTATTAAATATTTAAAATTCTTTATCACAAAAGTGCATTTGTTTACAATGAAGTTTTTCCAAGCTGATTTGACAGCCAGGTTTTGGAAACTGGTCTGTTACCTGCTGCAGACATGTTATGTAGTTCAACCCTGGATGCGCTGCAGCTGGCTTGTTCAATTATTATCAAAAGCAAATTAACTAAGCCTTGCTTTAAAACTTTGTCTTGAATTATACACCAATGGGAAAACATCTTCAGACAACATTTTATGAGTTGCAGACAGCTAAGGGAAAACATTTTCATGATTTAAAATTATAACATTTGAAAAAAAAAAACATTAAGGTATAATGATGCCCTTTTGGATTAAAAATATTGATTTTTTTTTCTTTTTTTTTAAACTTCAACTTTTAATACTGCATAATAAACATAGATAAATTTCTTATTCCAGGCACATATATAGGACAGAAGGTGGGAGAGCTCTGTTCAAGGGACTGGGACCTAACCTCCTGGGGGTGGCCCCATCAAGGTATGTTTATGACTTCAAAATTATTATAATCTATATAATTTTATATCTGGGGTGGCACTGGCAATGTCTTTCCTTTAGTCAAATTGTACTTCTTCATCACTTTTTTGTCCAAGTGGTTTAAATTTGACAAAAGTCAATAAGTCAAGTCAACCCTATTTTGTTTAGCCAATTTTAGTAAGTTGTAACATTTGGCTAAATTGGCAAGTGTTCCCGCTACCCCAGTATATGTACCTATAATTTTGTTAATGAGTATTTTCCTTTTACCTGGACTGTAAGTGTACTTGTGGTTATTGGTTAATGAGGCACACTTGTGACCTCAGATGGACAAATATATTGTTTTGATCAGAAAGCAGGTAAGATTAATGGGAACAGCCCTCTTAGTGTCCACTGGCATTAATTATATATAATGACACATTGCTACAATATTCACTCCTCCGCAACCAGTGGGTTTTGTGTTGGGCCTTGAAAAAATTGTATTGATGTGAGTTACAAGCAAGTGAAGCTATTTGGTATTGGGGGGAAAGGGGGGGTCTAATTATATCTCCATTATCCTGTTCCGACAGATGCACATTTGTTTTCAATTATATCTCCATTATCTATATGGACACAGCTTGAACATTGTGTGAAGCTGCTGAAGCCTTCTGGCCAGAAAGCCAGGGCTACTGAATTGTAAGATTTATCTTTACTGTACCTACAGCAGGTGTCTGCTTTAATGATCCAGCAAATCTTGGGGTCCCCCTATTCTTCACAAGTTCATTGGCCTGACTTCACTTTTACTGATAGTTGATGTGGGTTATACACTTTACCAGGGCTAGAGAAAGTTTTATTTATTTATTTATTTATTTATTTATTTATTTATTTATATGCTAGATGTCCACTTACAAAGAATGCCCCTTTTCTGTTTTGTGAAAAGCACTTTTCTGTTTTGTGACAGATGGAAATTTTGTTAAAAAAGAGAGAGAGAAGGCCAGTCTGTGGTCAGTGTCAGACTGGACAGACATTGGTTCTATTTAGTTTTAATTCTTGCCAGTAGTTTTGTGGGGGTCACTGGTCAGAGTGACCGTCAAGTTTTTATCCACATTTTGTGATGGTGAAATGACAACTGCAGCTGCGGAAGGAAGAAGTAGGTTACTGACATGGACACGCGATATCCAGGGACATGCGATATCCAGGGATGCAGGTGCTCTGTTGTGATCAAGTTCATAGTGGCAGATAAATAGACCAACCAAACAGGAGAAGTGGAGATATTGAATATATCTGCTATTGGTTACAATTCCGTCTGGGCAAAAATATAACTGTGTAACAAGTGATGGAAAGAAATCATGATTTAATAAATCAGATGGAAAGTACAGATGTGTAGTTAAAACATAACATGCTACAATGTGAACCTGAAAAGAGAGAGAGTGGCATTTTTTTTTTTTTTTTTTTTTTTTTCAGTTCATTGATACACAATTGCCCCCTAGCTGTTGAGTTCAAAAATACATTCTCAGCTTTCAATGGCTGAACTGTTGCCGCCTGTGTTATTTATAAGCCGTTAGTCCTAAAAATAGACGGGCTCCATTCAAAATGTCCTTAGCGTAAACAGTCTTTGTGTTGACCTAAAGCAAAGACCAAGCAGTGTGGAAATTGAACATTCTCGTAAACATCACATGATGTAGCTTTTGCACATGTAGATTAGTCAGGTTTGGTTTATGTTTCTGAACGCTTTAACCTGTAGTTATTCCCTGGTTTTGTATTTATGCTTTTAAGTCCTGTTTTTTTTCCATGTGTAAAAGGTTGTGGCAACTCTGTTGAGTTAGATATAATTCTGGTTTCATGTAGTGAACAAGTGGTTTCACAGACATGGGACATGCACGGCAAGAAATCTGCAGGTTTTTCCTTATTCTGTGCTAGTCTTAACTGTTTTATTTTCATAAGCCTATGTTTGCATGAAATTTATTATTATTATTATTATTAATTTATTGTATTTTCCCAAGGACTGCATTATCAAAAAATCTTGCCGGTCCTCTGGCTCTTCAAGTGGTCCTAACCTGTCAGACTGTCAATTTCCCCATGTCTGCTTTTATAATAAAGCTTACTGTACATATTTAGATATTTTCTGAAGCAGTTTGGCAGGTAGCCAGGGGATAATTCAAGACAATTTAATTAAGAAAAAAAAGTGTTTACTGTCTTTTTCTACTGAATAAATCATGAATTAATTGAGGCGGTTTTCCAGCTTGTTAAATACGGGCAACGAGCATTAGCATAAGACTATTTTATAAGGATAAAAACATGTTCGAATAAACAGATTATTATTTAATATTAAAAATGCCATTGTTATTGGCATTTTTTCTCCTTCCTTGCTTCTGATATTACATTGCTGCATATTTTATTTCTTATTGTGATTTATCTTCTCTTCCAGGGCCATCTATTTCTTCTCCTATGCCAAATCCAAAAAGTATTTCAACGCTGTCTGTGCACCAGATACATGGGTCGTCCACCTCAGCTCTGCAGCAGTGGCAGGTAAGAAAGAGCAGTTCACAAGGTTTATGCATCCCCCCACCCCCTTCTCAATGCATACACATATAATTAGTACCACCAGCGTGTACGCTGGCGGTACTCATGGTTTTAGTCCCGACCCGTCTCGTNAAGTCAATTCGAAAATCTGCTTGATTATACCATTTTTAGTTATATTATTTTGCATATTTTGAGAACTCTTATTGATTGCATCTTATAGAGCTTGTCAAGCACAAGACTGGTGATGGTGTCCCTTTTTGGAGGGGTGGGGGGGGGTCCAAACGAATGCGCTTACTCCAGCTGGTGGTACAATATCCGGAGGCGGTATCGCCTCTCTGATCCTCTAGTTAAGGTTTTGTTCACATGGAAAGTCTATTTTCTAAAAATCTATTTTCTATTCGCTGTATATCTTGTGATCACGGTCTGTGCCCTGAATATCCCGTGGCGTAATTACTGGCAGCGCGAGCCAGTTACTGTAAGTTACCATAAGTAACTGGCTCGCGCTGCCAGTAATTACGCCACGGGATATTCAGGGCACAGACCGTGATCACAAGATATACAGCGAATAGAAAATAGATTTTTAGAAAATAGACTTTCCATGTGAAAGAAGCCTTAGTACCCTAATTACAAAGTATATTACATTGCCTGCACATGCTGGAAATCTCCTACTGCAAGTTCAGCGTGAACACGAAGCACGTGCCATGCATGCAGCCAAGGCATGAATCACACTGCACTCGGGCTGTTATGATGTGATCTGTGCCTGATTACCTGTAGTTCTGAGAATTTATGTTACCTGGATCATGGGGAAAGAAGGAAGCATCCTGGTTTGAGATTTGTGTGTGTGTGTGAGAGAGAGAGAGAGAAATTGTGTTTCATAAGTCAATCGAGTATTTGAATGCGTTTTCACAACCTACAAGGTCAATAAAAGCTAAAACATTCAAATATATATGATATCGAACTTAATATTTCAAAAGAAATTGACTTAACATTTGTACTCCAATTTTTCTATTTATCAAAGTGCAAAATGGCAAAGGCTGAAAAATATGAGCCATTTTCTAGTGAGCAACCAGAATGACACAAGGATCAATAGAGATCTCACGTTTTCCCCTCCCATTCCGACATCAAATAGGCATTAGATAACACCAGAAGGAAGAATGACCTTTTCTCGGTGTGGTGGTTTCTCTGAGCTGTTAAGAGAACAGAAATCCTCCCAGAAATATCAATTTTCTGACAGTTGCTAATTCTGCACCCTGAGGCTCCCATGTTTCAAATACATTATATGTATATTGCGTACCTGGTTGGTTTGTAATAAGGTCATGGAACACGGGGTTGTGTTTACTTTTCATAAATGCTGGTTGTAAATAATGCAGTGATAAACTCGCTGGTCTTCGTTACAGATCGCTGGATGACTCATTTTGTCTTAAACCTAGGAGAAAAGTACTTCATGAATTATGATAGACAAAATGGATCCATTTGCCTTGAAAATTGATTCTTTCGTGGATTTAATGCAGTTGCCCACTGTGCCCCTGTGGTCAAGATAAAAATCTCTCTCACTTTAAACTTATTTTTTGAATTAACATTTTTTGTTGGGTTTTATATTTTCATTTTGAATTCCTTCATTTTGGCTGAATGATGTCTTGTTGCATGATCAAATGGGAAATGAAGCAAGTGAGTTTTATATGACTTTGTACACTTGAACAGCATTAGTAATCACTCTATTATGCTGCCAACAACTACGTCTATATTTAAGTCTCTTGTAAAGATTATCTTTAGGCTTCTTTTGCTACATGATTACTCAACGTGGCGACTGGGGATGTGATATTTTCCACCATGTGCTCAGAAAGTGATCGGCCCTTTTTCTGCCTGGAATAAACCTAAGAATTTGTGCCAAGAATATTTCAGGATGATATTTCCCTTCATGACATAGAAATTGATTATTTTTGTAATCATTTATCTGCCTATAATTAAACCCACAACGTTTTTCCCAAAAGGATATTTCATATTGAACCCCCCCCCCATCCCAGGTATTAAGAGAATAATTGGTCTCGTCTTCCTGCTTCCAGTCGAAACTAAGCAACCACCACATTTAGTTGGACTTATTATACCCCCTCCCCTAACTCCAACCTACCCCTGTGCTATGAAAATAATCAGTCTAATTTTGCAGCCTGCATTTCAGTCCAGGCATAGGTTCCCAAAATACACATTTCACAGTGATAGCACCTCTCCCGTTGCATAAAGGATGATGGCCCCATTTTTCTGATGCCAGAAAAAGCAGTGCAACCATCCAAAATATGTATTTCTCAGTTATTTCACCCCGTGTATGCAAGACATGATTGGCTTTCTGCTCTGACTGCTTTGCAGCCACGCAGGATTTGCATCCAAAATATACATAGCACGTGCTCTTCAGTTACAACTGTACACGTGCTTGGCGTGAGGAAGAGGAACGCATGCGTGGGTCAAGAAGAGCACATTTCTAGAAAGCACAAGAAAGTCATTAACGCTATTGACTTATTTTTGGATCTGGTACCATGCTATTCATGATCAGTGAGCATTCATTACATTTTAAGATTGTTTGTGTATATTTCTTTTTTATTTTTTTGAAAGGGGAGATCTTTAAACTGTAAACTCCTAAGGGTACATCAACATTTTCAACTTTGGGGGGGGGGGGGGGCAGCAAGATGTGTCCCTCTTAGTCTGCATGTATAGAATTAAGGTTCTTGCAACAGTCATGCATCAAAAAATGTGTAACAAATATGAAAACAAAGGGAAAAAATATAAGAAAATCCTTTCCCCCATGTCTGATATCCATTTTTAGACGTCCCTAGATATCAAACAGGTTTTTTCAGTTTAATAAATATTTATGCAGTGGAATATTGATGTAAATGTTACAGGGCAAAAAAAAAAATTATAATAATTATAGTAATAATAAATGTAATCAAGAGTTATCAGAAAATTGATGCAATTTCACCACACACAAAGGATGGAAAATGATGATAGCACATTTTTATTGGACACACTCAAAAAAAAAAGCTGTTAAACAGGATTGTTGAGTGCAGATATAGTAGCAGCCGGCCAGAGCAGTCAAAACAACATCAGACAGTATTTTATGTAGTACTGAATTGACCCAGCTGTGGTGTAAAACAGGAAGCAAGTTGTAAACAAGTAATTTTATATAGACTGACTGCAGCCTCAGAGATTATTCAAATTTCTTAAGTTAGGGAGCACTTTCAACTTAAGTTTGTTAGCATTTGTGTGCGTGTGATGGCAAGTGGTTGACATGCATTTGTGTGACTGAATGCATGTTGCATTCGTTTTCATGTGTTTGCCTCCATATCTGTGTGCATGTGTATATGTGTGCGTGCATATGAAAATACATGTGTGCGTGTGTATGAAATTTGTGTGTATGCACATAAGCGTGTGTGTATATATCTTAACATCTGATGTTGCTTCAATCTCTCCTGACTTCCAAAATTATAGCAAGTATTTGTAAACCTTGCGGTTGATCTACAATAACATCACGCTGCAGAGTTCACTGGGTCAAAGGGAGGCTGGAGATGGCTCTGCTTCTTTTACAGGGTCAGTAGGTTAATATGGGATGCGCAGCAGAGACACATTTTTGATTGGTTAGAAAGGAAGTCATTTTTGTTATATATTGGAAAGCAACCACGTGTTTAATTATTAAGTAACTGATGATTTGTGATTGTTTTTAAGTGATAATTTTATAATGACAATGATGATAAAATTAATTTGCATTTACAATTTGTATGTTACAGTAATGGTGCTTTTGTAGTGGGCAGTGCATTAAAATTTTTAATTGAAGTAGAAATGTTGATTGTGACTAAGCGCCTTAAGGCCGAGGTAAAAACATGAGATGAAGTGGTAACATATTAATATTGTATTGTAGGCTTAAAGCAGTTTAATTCAACTGTGTCAGGTTTAGTCATATCATAACACATTTAATATGCAGCTGTTGACCAAGCCAATGTAGCAGCTTTTTAATGTCTGCAAGAACTGGTAAACAAGTAATTTGATCCATCAGCTGTGGCTGGGTTCCCATACCCAGATAGATCTAACAGGATTGATCCATCTCCAAGGGGGTTTCTTGCTAAATTACTTTCAACTTAAGTGGCTGTCTACCAAAGCTGCTAAATTATAGTTAATTACCCCATAACAGCTTTAGTAGGCATGCCAGACATCTAAGCTGCTTAAGTTGATTGCAATCTAGCAAGAATCCCATTGGAGTTAGATTGATCCACAGTTTGTACGATAGGGTCTGGGAATGGTCTTGTTTCAAACTGGGCTGAATTTGTTTTCAACAAAATTTAGCCTGAAACTGAAAAAGGCTGATGCTGATGGTTCTAGGAATCAATTAAGATGGTAAAGTGGACATGTATATATATATACATATTTGTTTTGTTTTTACCAGGTTTTACAGCTTGTACATTAACAAACCCAATATGGCTAGTCAAGACCAGATTACAGCTAGACCAGAAGTAAGTAGAAAATAGTTTTCAAATAAAATAAGAATGATGATATCAGTTATTATTATTATTATTATATGCATAATAAAGTGATTGACTTATAGTTTATTCAAAGACACAAATAATAATAATAATAATGTATTAATAATAATAATGAATGAGTATTTATATAAAAAAAAACTTGCCCTTTCTTATACCCTTAAAAATATGGAGTCTGTGGGCAATATATTTAGACATGATAGTGATGAAATGTAAAAAAGATATAGGGGAAGAAAAAAGTGTCACCACAGGTTAAGACTGTGACGATTGCAGACTTCACCCTGTGGTAGAACATACAGACATATATATATATATATATATATATATATATATATATATATATATATATATATATATATATATATATCCAGGGGAAATTGAAACAGATAAAAAGTGTCTTAGATATGCACTTATAAAATTCCCATTTATTTATTTGCATTTTTTATGGATGTTGCTTGCCCTTAATATTTTGTCTTAGGACACTTGTTTGTGGAAGTCCTCACCCTATCTACTTCATAGACCAGGCCTAAACTATTTGTATAATTTTTACTGGTAACCCAAATCTTTCCATCATCTGGTGATCCAGACGTAAACGATCCGTAATAGTAATAATCTAACCTTTAGCAAAATGAAAAGTTTGCAGCCATATTGCAGCAAATTGACAAGAAGGAATTGCACTTTGCAGCAAATTTGCTGCAACTTAACTGCAAATTTGCAGCAGGCCTGATATTTTGCTGTTTATCTTGGAAACCAGCCGTACAAAGTTCTTGCCTAAAAGCAAATATTAAGCTAAATCAGCCAGTGTCTACCCTGAGTGAAGTCAAGAGGTAACCCAGTTTTGGCGTCTTGAATATGACCTATATAACTAGGAAATAGACCAGGGTACTAGAGTGATGAGAGCTCACATAGAATAAGACATGTGCCTCTTCTACCCTAGGTTCTAACTTTTGGTATTGCCAGCTCGACTTTATTCCATATATATGTATATATCCCACATCAGCAATGAAAGAGTAACATATGGAAATGAATAGTGAGCAAGCTTGCTTAATAGTGCCCTGACATTCAAAGCAGCTGCTTGAGTTGGCCCAGATTATGCAGCAAATGTGAATGTTGACATAGTGTATTTTAAGGCATAGATGAAAAGAATAACAGTGATGAAGAGAAACAATAAAAAATTGAGCAATTCAGAGGCTGCAGTGGAGTGTTATACTGTATATTTGGTCCCTGTCTAAAATGCTGCTGATTCAGTGATCAAGTTGCTTAAATTTCAACGAAAGCTCGTTTAAGTAAATGTGCTGTTCAGCGAAGCTTTAGGTTGTTGTGTGTAGAACACAATATTGTGGTAGTGAAGGTTGGGGATAAACCGCAATCTCTTGTCTGATTGTGGCTTAGAAATTGAATAGTTTTATTCCAACATTTTGTTTGTAACTCCCATCTGTTGAAGTAACTAAATATATCAGTCTGTCAACAGCCATTATTTATATCCATCCTCATTATTTGTACGAAATTGTCTGTCTCAATTTCCATGAATTTTACAATTTAATAAATAATAAATTAACTTAATACTACCCCGCAGGAAAATGCAGTAGTATCGAAGTAGCAAAGAAGCATTAACGCAGTAGTGGTGTGGAGCATATTTGCAGTAGAAATGCAGTATAGCCTACTGCAATTCTACTTCAAAAATTACATAGGGTTGTACAGAGGAGGAGCATTAATGCAGTAGATTAGCAGCATGAATGAAGCATGTTTCAAATATGCTAATTAGCTCCCATATCGAAGCAGATTTGAAGCATGTTTGCAGTATGATTGCAGTAGTCTACTGCGCTGGAGCATCTACTTCGTTTTCGTGCGGGACATGTTCTAACATTTATAGTAAGCTAAATATTGCGTAGTTTACCATTTAATATTCAGTGAATTAGCCTAACATCAAATTATTTTTATTATTATTATTATTATTATTATTATTATTATTATTATTAGTAGTAGTACACTTTTTTCCAGAAAAAATGGCTCTCTCACCATGCGGCAGTGCATCTTAAAAATTGGAAGGACGCAGGGCATTCCGGGCTTTTACAAGGGCATCACTGCCTCCTACTACGGGATATCAGAGACAATGATCCACTTTGTGATCTACGAATACGTTAAACGATACCTAGTCGAGTATGGCGGGAGCACGCTGGCGGAAGACAGGACTTTCTCAGACTTCTTCAGGTTCATGGCTGCCGGCGCGATTTCCAAGACCATTGCTTCCTGCATTGCATATCCACACGGTTAGTTTAAATGTTATTGGAATTTGGCATCTTATTGTTATAATCCTGTAATAATATAAAAATAATTTTCACATTGATTTTAGAATAATGTTTGTATAAATTCGATGCGGTTTCTAAATATTTCTCTTCATTTTTTTCCCCATTTTAGGAGGTTGCACCGATGCAACTTGAATAAACTACTCCGTATTTTCAGAATATCGGTTGTAAACGGTCAAAACCTTCTCGTTCATCTTATTTCATCTTATCTTATTTTATCTCTCATTTCGTCTCATTTTATTAATTTATTAATTTTTCGTATTTTCAGAAGTTGCCAGGACGCGACTGAGAGAAGAAGGCAACAAGTATAAATCGTTCTTCCAGACGCTAGGCACGGTGCTACGCGAAGAGGGTCGGCGCGGTCTGTACCGCGGCCTCGGAACGCAACTCGTCCGCCAAATTCCAAACACCGCCGTCATGATGTCAACGTATGAGGCCACAGTGTACGTCTTGACGAAATTCTGTGGCAACGGTTACCATGACGACGATGATTATGATAATGATTGAAGGACGCATGCGCGAAGGAAGGGGTGTGAAGTAAAAGGGGAGAGTATGTTCGAAATCCATTTCAGTTTCCGGCGTTTGTCGAGAATTGTCGAGAAATTCTGCTGAGGAGAGGACATGAAATGGGTGCTGTTAGTTCATCGAGGCATTGCTGCTGATGACTGTCTTGGAAAGTCTACAAGGACGGAAGTCTCTACGCCAGTCAATAAGATTCATATAGAGTCGATACGGTCAATAAGGTTCATATATAGAATGGATATTGTCAATAAGATTCATATAGAACCCATACACGTGTTTTACAGCATATTGTTCTATCATTTATTTTATTTGGTTGTTTATTTATTTATTTGATTTATTTTATACAAGTATGTTTAAAGTAAAAAAAAAAGTTTTGTATCTTTGAAATGTGCTGGAAGTGACAGCGGTCAACAAAAAAACCTTCTTGACTTCCAGATTCTCTACTTAAAATACGTAAGGCTGTGTTCATGTTCTTGCATAATTGTGATTATTTATTTTAAAGCAAAATTTTACTGAAAGTTATTTTTACTACGTTTTGTTTACAGAAAATCTGTACATTGTTTCACTTGCAGTGTTTTCTTGCCAAAAATAGTTGAAAGAAATTATACGAACTGTGCTTGTGGCACATATGGGATATGTTCTTTTCGAAAATTTAAAGAGTCGGTAAAAACTTAGAAGCGACCACATTTATGTTTTGTTAGCGTTACCTCTTACGTAGAATTTGTTGGAACGGGTATTGTAGTAGTATGTTACTCCAGAAAACAGTATTAGAAAAGACGTCGTTCATTACTTCATGGATATAGATGACGTGAACATATGAGCCGCAAGATGGCAGCACTAATCGACTATCAAATCCCAAGTGTGGAATTTGCTATTTATTCAACAAGGACTTGAGGAATCCCCGCAAAACTGGCTAAAACTGTGCAATGAAGATCTATCGTATTTACGATGTACATATTGTATACACTGTTGTACATAAAAATAATTAAATTTATAAATCAGTTTCATCTTTTTGTCGTTCATTTATATTTTATGAAGTAACAACCGAACGCGGTCTTTGCTTCACGTGTGCCAGAGATTAAACTGGTCCCCTCTTGAAATTAGAATTTTGACTAGCTGAATAAAAGTTATAAACCGTACCAAATGGCACCCTTCGCCCTCTAAAATAGCAATGCCAACCGGGTTGTGTGTGGGCGGGTTGCATCCGCGGACCTACCCCCCCCCCCCCCCCCCCCCCCCCCCCTTCAAATAATCTTAGATACGCCCCTGTCTTATGTGGTGAAAAAACGCACTAGGGCTACTTTCATAACCCGATTGCTTTCCCTCAAAATATTTTAAATCAAGATTAAGATGCATTCTTTGCTTTTAATCTATCGTAATTATTTAGCACCAGCTGGAAACGATATTCATACCGTTACATGTGGCTTGCGGCCAACCTGGACATAGGCCTTTATCAGACTGATAGAGTTGTTACTGACGGTATGCTAACTAAAGTTCTATAAAATATTTCTGCTTGTGGTAAATGCTAAGCATATATGATCCAACAACCAAGCTAATTAATGAACGTTTTTGTTCGTTTATTCCTCTTTGTTTTAAGGGAACCGATGGCGCTATTATTGTTTCTTTGACATAAAAGACGGTCGAATAACGACTGAAATTAGGGCCGTGGCAAAATGACTTATTTCAAGTTCAAATTATCTTACCACTGAGAAGTGCCGACCAAAAAAAGCCATAAAGTGACCATCTCCAGTATTACCAGTAGACTTACCAGTAGACTTGTCATCAAGAAAAGTTGCGGTTATATGTAATGACATCCCCGGGTGGTGGTGGTGGTGGTGGTGGTGGGG